TAATGCTTAGAGGAAGCATGAGGACGCTCATTTTTGAGCAAGCAGCCAGACTAAGTTTGGGAATTTGTGGGTTCAGGTTTCAGAGCCGGAGCCCTCAATCCCTAGAACCTGAACACCCTAAACCCTAAACCGCCTAAACCCTAAACCCTAAACCCTAAACCCTAAACCTAAACCCTAAACCCTAAACCCTAGACCCTAAACCCTAAACCCTACGATCGGAGGCCGCCGAAGGCCGCGATGAGGGCCAGAAGACCCCGGAAGCCATGAGGGAGGAGGCCCTCACTCAGAGTCTAGGGTTTGGGGTTGAGGGTCTATAATAGGGTTTATAGGGTTTATAGGGTTCATAGGGTTTAGAGGGTTTACAGGTGTTTCTAGGGTTTCTAGGGTTTCTAGGGTTTCTAGGGTTTTGGGTTTTGGGTTCAGGGCTGGGGAGGGTTCAGGGTTAAGGGCTCAGGGTTTGGAGTTTGGGGTTCCGAATTTCTAGTCCTTCTAGCACGCTTCCAAATAACCAAAGAGATTTACTCTTGACCCTACGTGCAACTCCGAACCCGAAACCCTAAGTTCGAAACCCTAAACCCTCAACCCTCAATGCCTGGACTCTCGACCCTCAGCCTGCACCCTCAAAGCCCGGGGTTCAGGGTTCAGGGTTGAGGGTTCAGGGTTTAGGGATTTAAGGGTGCAGGGTTCATGGTTTAGGGTTCAGGGATTTAAGGGTTTAGGGTTTAGGGTTTAGGTTTAGGGTTTTTTGGCTTCGAAAATCTGCACAGGAGGACGCCATGCCGTCAGTGTCCTTCGATGCAACCCTGATTGGAGCCATCGCTCTGCTGTTGCCGCTGGCTGCCGTGCTGGCGGGGCGCTGGGAGTAGAGCTTCTAGGAGCTTGCGGGGGCGTTTAGGGGTTTGGGGTAAACCCTAAACCCTAAACCCTAAACCCTAAACCCTAATGGTAACCCTAAACCCTAAACCCTAAACCCTAAACCCTAAACCCTAAACCCTAAACCCTAAACCCTAAACCCTAAACCCTAAACCCTAAACCCTACATATGGGGTTTAGGGGGTTTAGGGGTTTGGGATCAGAACCTCATAGACCCTAAGCAGGAAGAATCCGCAAGAAAGTGCCCGAACCGCTTGTTATTTGTTGGGGAGGAGTCAAAGACGCTTAGACCCTTAGTATACGAAGTGCAGCTATAGGGTTTAGGGTCTTAGGGTTTAGTGTTGAGGGTTCAGGGCCGTAGGTTTCGGGGCTTCTAACCGAAGTGATTCGTACTTCTATGGCACAAATTCCCATTCCTTGAAGCTGTCCGGTTTTTAGGGGCTTTTTCATGTATTAGATTCCAGTTACAAGCTCTGGAATGCAGTCTCTGACGCTATTTCTCCCTTGGCCGCTGCTTCCCCCGAGCGATTGCAAGAAGAGTGACTTGAAAGCTCTGGCCTGGAACTGGGACTTGCACGAACTATCTCCTAGCACCAACTAGCACGGTACGCTGCGAATACACTGAGTTCACAGAACTAGGCCCCGCGAGCTCTCTTGCTGGGACGCTCGCCCTCATGGGCAGCGTCTATGCCTGACAAGCTTTGCCTGTCGCCCGGTGTCAAAGAGTTGTACCATGACCAACACCAGCTTGCAACACATCGCTCTGCCTCTTCCTTGCTACGGCGTGTGCCGCGAGCAGGGGCATCGTCTGACTTGAAGCAAAGAGTTCGAGATTTTTTGCCCTGAAACTTGAAGCCTGCCGGCAAGTATGCCTGCACAAATGCCGAGCCGGTCACAGGACAGCCATAGTAAGCGTTGCAGTGAGGAGGCAGCTCACATGCTGGGATGCCTCGCCGTACTGGAGCAGCGTGCGGGCCATCATTCCGGCCCTAAGATTGATGTAGCTGCAAGAAATAGAACGCTGTCTGTAGGTGAAGCATTACTACAATTTACTACAGTTGACTATGCTTATACTGTTTTTGGCCACGGCCTTTGTCGATTGAGGTTTGCTAATGATGCTCGGGTCAAGCTGCTTCAGGAATGGGCGGGAATAGGTACTCTGGCAAAATGAAAGAAAGTACAGTTCCAGGATGTCCTGTATAAATTACGACAGGCGTCTTCCAAAAAGACACTTGAAACTTGGAAGGTCACAACCTTTTAAACTTAAACAAGCTCAACCGGGAGCATGCACACCTATGGCCCCTGCCTCACAGTGACTCACCCCAAACGCCACAAACTCTACCCCAAAAACAGCCCAAACACAAACCTTCGGACAGTGAAATATCAGAAGCTCAGACATAGACTATTAGACCTGGCTGAGCCACGCGTGCGGCCGCAGCTGCCTGGGCAGCATCGGCTGCAGCCTCGGCAGTGGAGGAGGCGGAAGCGTGATTCTCGGCCGAACCAGCAGCTGCATTAGGCATGCTCACATCCTCCCTGGCATCCTCCTGAGGTAAGTCTGCATACACTTCCTGCTCATCCTCATGCATCTGCTCTTTGAGGTCCTCTTCTTCTTCATCTGTTGTGTGTCCTTCGAGGCGTTCGTCTTCCCCGTTGTCCTGCTCCTGCAGGGATAGGCTGGAATATTTTTTCCAGGGTACTTGCACTGGACTCGCTAAGGGTTGCGGGCTACTGTGTGAATGGCTCTTTGTCTCTCTATTCTCACGCATGCATGAGAGTGAGGTTGGGGCATTCACAGCCTAAGGTTAAAGAACATGGCGTCAGGTGTGTATGTTTAGAAGACTGAGGCATGCAGAAGTGGTGCCTCCTTTTGGACTCGAGGCTTCCGTTCAGGGAGCTCGTCCAAGATCTCGTTCACGTAGTCCTCGCTGCGCCCCATTTCTCTGAGGAAAGCTTCCACACGTTTCTTGTGACTCAGCTTGGAGTGGCCCTTGATTTTCATAGCTGAGCACAAAGAGCTCAGCAGTGAAGCTCCAATCTCCAGGATGCTGTGGTCAGCCACGTACTCCTGCAGTGACATCCATGGACTTGTCTGCTTCCATGCCATCTGCGTACCCGACAGTGTGACTTGAGTCAAGGCGACCTGGATGTTGTCAATCGGCCCCGCCTCCACCATGCGTCGAGGCACTGTTCTTTGCTCCAGGTCAAACAGCTCGCAGTCGGCCTGGCCATGCCCCATCAGCTTCAGTGGCAGAAGCTGCACAGCATGGGGCCCTGCAGTAAGAACCAACTGTCTGTTCTCCTCGCTCGGCCTGCTAGCCCATTGCATGAAACAGCCACGTGGAACCAAACGACTCGTCCATAGCAGTTTGTACGCACTCAGCAAGTTCTCATGTTTCTCATCTTCATCAACCGGGGCACACTCCCAGCGGCGCTGCAAAACTTTCAGCAACCGCAAACGCTGATGGAAGACGTGGGGCTTCTTCAGCTGCTTGTTGGTCTTGTGCCGGGTAAGCCCCTCGCAACTGATGCCCAGGTCAACGTCTGTGGGCTTTAAACTGTGGTGCACGCGGGCCTTGATGCTCTTGCCTTTGAGCGGTGCTTGCCAGTCCTCCGTGGCCAGCTCCACTGTCTTGCAGCCACTCGGTCGACGCAGGCAGCTTTTCAGTGCAATGGCATGCAGATTCGTCGCGTCGGTTTTTTCACACTTTGCGTGTCGCCGTCCTGCATCGCGCATATCGTTGTAGCACAGCTCTGAAGGGAGCGATGAAAGCAACGATTCGTAAGACTCACCCGTGCATCCACAAAAGGCTGCCACAGCTTCCCGGAATGATGCACTGGCCTCTGTCCTCATTGCGTAGGACTGAAAGTCGAACATCCTAAGTAGGCTTCAGGCAAGGAAGAAACAAGGGCTTGGGCAGCAGGAGGCTGGGTTCTTTGCAGCTCAGTTCAGCAAAATAAAGACAACAATATATTTTTGTTATGTCTAAAGGGACTACAGACTCATTTAGGTGAGACAACGCTACACGCAAACCTACACACTCTTCCACAATGCCCCCTTCCAGCAAGTCGTAAGCGAAGCCTCCAAGACATTTTCACCCTCAACCCTTGAACCCTCAACCCTGACACGCAAAGTCCCTAACACTCACTCTGAAACACTCAACCATACTCAATCCCAAACAACTCTAAATTCACACGTCTGCTGAGGCACTCTGCTTTGACCATGAGATCTCTGTAAGCCTGCTGTCGGGTGATTGCCATTTCGGTGTACAATGAACTGCTGTTGTTCAGCTTGTCCACAAAGCCTGTGCAAAAACGCCACTCAGCTTGCATAGCTTGCAGCGTCTCTTCCCGAAGCGGAGCACTCATTGTGGCACATGCCCGCCAGGGGAAATGGCCAGCCTGCTCGTCCAGCTCACACAAAGCAGCCACTTGGCTCAGCATGAGACTTGCGTGCCACTGTAAGGCTTCCTCATCGTCCAAAGCACCCACGTACGTCAACGCATCTTGACTCAAGCAGTCGGACAGAGTACGCCTTGGCAGCGTGAGAGGTAGAGGCTCTTTCCCTCACAAAGGTTACCTACTTCCTCTCACACACAGGCATTTCTGGGCTTCAGGCCGAATGAGTTTCTGCACGCGCTGCCCTGAGGCCATGGAAATCATCGTCTCGATGGATGCCGTGCTGGAGGACTGGAAAGCACGAGCCTTGACCAGACAGAAGGTCATCTACACCTAGACACCCAAAAAAAAGACATTACAAGGGATGCAATGAAGGGCAGTGCCCTACAATCAGCTTCTGAGGAACTCGGTCACTGATGTATTCTCGCTCAGCGCGGAAGACCACCAGGAGACTCCGCAGCTTGTCCTGGTTGGTGTCGTCGGCGAGGAACTGGGCAGCAGCAAGTGTGTCTCTGCGCAGAGGGGAGTCCCGGAAAAGTTGCTGAATCACTCAACTTGGGTGGGGTTCACAGTGGAGGTCATACACTACAGTGTGTTAGGGCAAGAGATTCCTAGCAGGGTGGAGCGCACCCTCTCAAACTCTGCAGTTCCAAGTCTTGGTGGTCATCAGGTTTAAGGTTATCCGGGGAGGGAGGTCTGTTTCATGCAGTGAAAATGCTGGCAAACTTGTTACATCCCAGCTGCGTGCCAGCAGAAAGCACGCATGCTGTGGGAGTCCTCAGAGCCGTCATCACAAGTTTGCAACGCCCACGGATTCCGGCCCTCCAGCCAAAAAGAAAAGGCGTGGGACATGGCCAGCGAGTGCCACTGCCGATCCCACGCCATTCCATTGTCCCAGAAGGAGAACCAGCGACTGTCTTTCACAGCACTCCCTGTCACGTGGATGCGGCCTGCCCAGGCAGCAGAATTCAATCCGCTGTACAAACTGTCGCGAAGCATGAAAGAGACTATGATAGACAAGTGCACGTGTACTACCCCGGCCCCACCTTCCACGTAAGACAGTGTCAAGCAAAAGCAGAAAAACCTCCTTCCCCAGCACCCTTCCCCACCTTTCTCATTCTTGAGAAACTCGTACGCGGTGTTGTGGTCGAAGTTGTCTGGGTCGAAACTTGCAGCTCGCAGCGGACTCGAGCAGTCTCTGGCCATGCCGGCCAGCCACGGAGTCAGAACCTCATGGGTCCTGTCCTTCTGAAGTATGGCCAGGAGGTGATCCCGAGCCTCGGAAATCAGCTTTCCGAACTTGGACGACTTGAAAGGCCCGCGGGTGAACCGGTATAGCTTCATGAGATCCTTCAGGAAAGACTGCCCGCCAGGCACATTCTTCAGAGCCAGGGACGTCTTCCTAGCAGCCTTGTGAAAAGGATCACTCCACCAAGCGACCCAACAGCCCTGGGCAGCGAGGTGCAGGTAGCCCAACCATCCCTTGCGGGTTGTTCTTTTTTGGTCGTTCGTATGTCTACTGCACTGAGGCAACCCCCCTGCCAGCCCGCCTCCGTGCCCTCATCCGCCGCGAAGCACAAGTGGTAGAAGTCGTCGTTCTTGTAGTAGTCAGGCTGCGCAGAGCGCGACTCGAAATCGTAAAGAAAGTAATGCTCCAGGCCATCATCCTCTTGACCCAGTGCCTCGACTTCTGTTGCTCGGAAGCTGTACCTTTGGCACTGCGGCCCCGCCGGCTTCAGAAGGTTTGGGGGGCAGGCGCTCTGCAAAGTGAAGCCCTCTGGGAGAGCTGTCTGCACAGAGTTCGCGACTGCAGACAGTAGCTGCTTGGTAGCAGTGCGGAACTCTTTGAACTTGAAGGCATCCTTTCGCAGGTAAAGCTGCGCGGAACCTCTTTGAGGTAGTTCGTCTGCAACGGCCACGGCCATCGAAGCTGCTGCTTCAGCAGCCTCTGCGCTGCTGCAGCTGGTGGATGAAATCAGCTGCGTTGTACCAGCGAAGTGGTGGCCATCCATGCGAAACACAAGGGAAAGCACCTGGAAGTGGCAAGGTGGAAAGTTGACAACACGCAACTCAAACCAAGCACAGCATGCAAGGATTTATTGGGTAAGGCACATCTTCGTGACAGATGCGGGCGGTGTCAAAGCAAGCGTTGACAGTCTTCATGCTCTGTCTGTCAATGACAGTCTGCATAAAAGTCGATGTCTTTTGTAGTGAACGTGCCACAAACTCTGTCGATGTTCTACTGGCAAACGCTGTCCTCTGCTTGACCAGTCCTAGCTCTGAAAGCTGCGTTTCCTGCTTTGCGCTGACAAAGCCACCGCCTCGCACCATGAATTTGTTGACAAGGGAGACTTCCAAGGAGCGGTTGCCGCGCATGCGAGCGGATTTCATGTAGGGGTGGTACTTGGCCAGTACGTCGGGAGCAGGGCACTCTTTAGTAACCTTTGTGGCCAAGCACACCTCTGCTTGCTGGGCAAACAAGTGAAGTGACCTCTTCAACATTCGGCGGAAGTAGAGGTTCTGCCAGAAGTGCGAGTCATTACGAAGTCGCAGCATAGCGACCAGAAAAGACGTAAACGGCATGCGTCGTTCCACTTTCGCCGGGAGTTTCCTGGCGAACCTGAGCTCTGCAAGCTGTCCAGAAACAACAATGCAGTACTGTCAAGCGTGCCTTGGGGCTGCGGACGTACCGCACGCGGCGTGAAGGATGCTTTGGGGGCACAGAACATGCAAGGCCCTGGCCTGCACCAAGAAAGGTCCATCTCCTTCAGCATGCTCTTTATGTCAGTGGTGCTGGCTTGGCCAGCCTCTAGCATCAAGCTGAAGATGGGCTCGTGCGGGAGCAGTTGCAGGGCAATGTTCAGGTTCATGAGTTTCAGCAGGCTTTCCATAATGCGGGCACATGACGCCACAGCATCTGCAGTCAGCGTTGCTGTTGGCAGAATGCTGCCTATGATGAGAAAGGTTCCGAGGACGGTGGTGGCATCCACCGGGAGCGAGCTTCCCGTTTGCACAGCTCCCTTGTATGTAGGCCGTCGAAGCACCTTGGAAGCTTGGTCTGCAAACAAGGCTGGCCCAGCGTGCCACCAGGACAGCAAGCAGTCTCAAGCAGCATGTCATGATATGAAAGTTTAAGCCCGCGACGTGGCCATCACCGACCTCAAACTGCTGGCACAGCGGTAGAAAGACACTGGTGTAGTTCTTCGTGTACCACTGCGTGAAAGGAGTCTTGCTCTGCCACCATTCTGTTACGGAGAGGTAGTGCCGGTAGCCTTCACATGAATTCTCTTCAGGGACCTAGGACGGGCAGAGCAAAGGGGAAGTGGACAGCTGCATGTGCAGCAAGCGCGGTTGATGGTTTTCAAAAGGGAAGAAGGCTAAGCTGGGTTTGAAACCGTGTCCGAGACACCAGCAGTACAGTCTGGACACCAAGATCTGTCTGCAAGAATGTGAAGTCATGCGGCAAGCATCCCGGCTTTGAAGAGCCAGGTGAGTCCGGGCTGCTGGGCTCCTGCTCCTGTAGCTTCTCAGGACTTGCAGTCGGACTTGCGGAGGGCACGTGTGGGAATGGAGCGAACGGTATCTCAGGGCCATGGACCTCAAGCAGAGGAGCAAGTGCAGCCCTAAAATCGGACATGCGCTGGGCAACCAACGCCACATCTTGGCTGGAGGCCCGTATGTCGACCCAACGCCTCGCCACAAGGTCCCGCACGCGGTCAATAGCCTCCGTATAGCCCCTGTCATCAGCATCCGTAGGGACCTGAATCACCAAGCTTGTGAGTTCCTTCTCCCAGTCCTCGCAGGTCTGGCAAAGAGACAGACAAATGCAAACCGCAGCTTCGAACAGACGTTGAGAGAAAACATAGTGCTGGGTGCTGAAAAACATGCTTGCCTGGAAGGGCTGCAGGTCAGCAGCTTGACTGGCCATGGTAGCTTCAGGAGGTTCCCCCCCCCCCCCCCAAAAAAAAAAAAAAAGAAACTGTTTCGGTTTTCCTCCGTCTGGAGTGAAGAGAACGGTTTACAGGGAGTATGGTGGATGAAAGCTTTCCCTAGGGAAAAACCATCAGATTGCCATTCTCTACATGATTGTTCTTTAGGACACGTTCTGACGCAAAACAAAAAGTTTGGTTTTTCCTCTGCTGAGGGCATGTCTGTGCAGTGTGATTGTGACGCGAGAGAACGCTCATGTGTAGAGAGAACGTTTCTGGGAATTCTATGGTGGAGAGAACGATGCTTCTCTGGACATGTTTGGCCTAGACTTCGTCTGCGAGCCAGAACCCAGTAGAACACTCTCAGCAAGACACAAAGGAAGAGAAGTCTGCATGGAAGAAGAAAACATGACAGGAGAAGTAGCTCTTTTTTGCGGGCAAAGAGCTCGACAGCACAGTCCACCTGTGCCTATCTTATAGAAGGGCCATGGGCTGAAGGCACGAGCACGCGTATTACACACGTCAGCCCAGCACAAGGCAGATCTCTGGCACAGCTACTGTCGTCTGTGACGCCTGCACTTGTGGTGGCCGTGACCTGGCTCCTGTCGTGTGCACGGAGACTCGCAGAAGAAGCACACAAGGCCACAGCGGAGTTCCTGTGTTAGCTGCAAGACCAGGTCCAAGATTGCGCTGGAGTCCATGCGAGCAAGGTCGCTAGCATCCATGCCTACGCGAGTCGGGAAAAGGGCACAGAATGGAGCCCACAGCACATGAACTTTGACACAAAAAGGCATGCAGAGAACACCGGACAACATGCAAGGGCCTGGGTCATGGTGTGTACAGAAGACAGAGGTGCTGAAGACTGCAAGGGGCACTGTTGTCGCAAACTGTTTTCGTGCCGCAAGAGCATGCGCACAGTGTCTCCCTGAGCATGGTGATGGCAGTGCGGACGCGAACCGCTGAACTGCTGAGCACGGCAAAACGGTACAGCATGAGTACGTGAGTGGGCAACTGACTAAGAAGTGGGAAGAGTCAGGATGCAAAGGTACAACATCTCAGCGGCTACCTGAGGATGCGAGATCCCCAAGATCGCCCTTGTTACGAATCTTGCCCTGCCTTGCAGAGCTCTTGCTGTTCTTGGCAGGGACCTCTGGTTCGCCCTCAGAAGTGTTCCCTTTACTTTCAAGCGTCAGGTCATCTGGAATGAGCTTGCGAAAGACGTGCTTTGCGGCCTTGTCCACATAAGCGTCCTCGGGGTGGGTGGGTTAGGGTTAAGGTTTCAGGGTTTAGGTTTTAGTGTCTAGGGTTTAGACATAGGTGAGGCCAAGAAGCCATGTTTGTGGAGATCTGTTTAATGAGTCGCTTGACCGCGTTGCGACCCATCCAGGACATGTTGTTGAGCATGGCCGCAGCAGCCTGACCAGCAGTGTTTGGGGCTGGCACCCAGCCGTCCTTTACAGCCTGGATGAGCTTCTGGATGCTGTCCTAAGTGTTACAAGGAACCGATATGGGGCAGGTAAGGTCAGGATGTGGGCAGAGGGACAGGCAGGGCTTTGAAAGCTGTCAGGACACTATCCCATCCTCCCGCATGGCTTGGAAGAAAAACTCTGCATCTGTCTCAACGGACAAGAACATCTTAATGTCCTCGGCGAGAAAGGACTTCAGTCCCGGAAGGTCATCAGTGGCTTCTGCGGCCTTGCTGATGTCTGTGTCCACAGAGGAAGCACCCCTGCCAGAGGCCCCTTTCACGGAATTGCTGAAGCCATCCTTGAAAAGGTCGTCGTCATTGGTAAGCTTCCAGTTTCCACTGGCGCGAGCTTCCTGCTTCCACGTGCTACGCTTGCGAGAGGAACGCTTGGTAGAAGCGGTAGCCTTGGAAAAGGATTAAGGAGGATTGGTTCTGGGCAGGCAGCAGCGTTTGACAAGAGCTGCAATGAAGACTTCTTTGGCAAGCAGCTGGGTCGTTGTCAGAGTCTTCCTCTCCTAGCATCCGCGAGCAACCCCTTTGCAACTTCCTCGCAGGGGAAGCACTGGCGTCGTCCTCACTGTTGCCTGAGTCCTCTTGCGGCTTTCGACCTTCCAAGGATCGAGTAGACGGGCGACGCAGCAAGGAGCCCTTGCTGGCTTCTCCTTCCTTCTTAAGGTCCTTTGCTGCTTCCTGCACGTGTCGTGACAGCATATCCTTGAACTCGGCCATCCACGCGTCCTTGTCAGCGCCAGAGGCCCGTAGGTCCAGCTCAGTCTTCATGCACCTGACAAACAAGGATGTCCAAGCACGATGAAAGAAGAGAACCGCGACAGAGTAGAGACAGGAGAACAAGGGGCAAAGCACAGTGCAGCAGCAACCCAAGACTGGGTGCAGATTGTTCCTTTTGGCAGATACTCTGGACGCATAAGCAGGCCCTGTCAGGAAATGGAGAAAGTAGGGACCCGCGCAAGAGAGAGTGGGGGGAAGAGAAGGAGAGTCTGTGCACACACAACCCGCTGCAAGTGATAGGAAGTACACAGGGCCAGCCCGGAGCAAGCAAGCTGAAACAAGAAAAGCGCCTCCTCAGTGAGACAATGTTTCGATTCTGGGAGATGATGGTCATTGACGTCATGCCAGTAACTGAGTAACAAGGCATGAGTGATAGTGCGCAGCAACAAGGCCAGAAACTGGCAGGAAGCAGACACAAGTCAAGATACGGTGCTCTGCCATCTCAAGCAAGCGATCCCGCCAGTTCTTCTCGGCCAGCATCTCCTTGTTAGCAAAGTCCACTCGTGCCTCCAAGGATTCGGGATCATTGTCGGTGATTTTGGCTGCCTGCCGAAATCGCTTCCGGGCCTTGGCTGAGACATGTGAGAAAGTACAGCACAAGTGAGAAGAAGACCAAGACTGTTCATGTGCATAGAAGGGTTTGGATGCAAGAGGTGCATGTCTGTCGCGCTGAAACGTTCCAAACAAGCAACCTCCACAAGCTCCCCGCCACACCTGAAGAGTTTGTGCTCCGTAAGCTCTGGCATCAAGCGCGCCAGTGTCGTGGCCAAGAGAGGCACAGGAAGATCACACAGTCGACTCATGCGAGCAGAGATCTGCAAGGATTTTGGCTTCCTTGTATTACTGGTGGCATCAATCCATGGAGAAGCAAATCGGGGCATGTGAAAGTTCAAGTTCAAAATGCTGGGAGAGGCACAAGCCAAAGGTGGCAGCGATCCCCACAGCCTCCTTCCTTGCATCCTCGTCCTCTGACGAAGAAGACTCCCTTGAGCTAGACCTTCTCCTTGTCTTGCTCTTTGTTTTTTTGGAAGAGCGACGCTTGTCCTTCTTCGAGGATGGAGGCATTGCTGAGCAAAGGCACGAAGGCTTCTGCAGAGGAAAGCGGCGCAGTGGCACAGCTTTTGCAACAGGTCAAAGTTGTCAGGGAACTGCTGCTGGGCCAGAAGCAAGATTCACACAAGAAATCGTTGCAGGTGCCCTGAAAAAAGGAAGAAGCAGCCACGCAACCTGCAAAAGCAGCAGTACTGCCATCACGATTTATTGCAAACACAGTTGAAGATCGGCGAAGAGAAAGCACGCATTGCGTCCGAGTCTGTCACAGGCTGCCAGAGTAGAAGCGCCGTAGCACTTGCAAGTATGTGCTACTGAAGTACAGATTCCATACGAAAACCAAAGGGGGAGAACCAAAGGTGACTGCAAGACATTATCCTAACCCCAAGAAGATACGTGTAATACCCGCACTGGAACGAACCCCTTGAAAATGTGCAGGCTCAGGGCTGTTGATCAGCAGAGGGCGCTGTAGAAACCTGGGAAAAGCCGAGATTTGGGCAATTGCAGAAAGGAAGCCTTGCTTGTCTCTTTTGCAATGTGTACAGAGGTTGGGGCGTGGGCAAAAGTCCAAGGTAGCAGCGTAACTAAACTTACTACATTGCTGCGTTGTTGCGCAGCTGTGTTGCAAAAAAAGAAGAGCTCAGCAGAGCAATAATAAGGCCTGAAACTGCTGAAAACTGGAGACCCCAAAAGAAAGTGTGACATGCTGCCTAAACCCCAGGCCATCGAAGTCACAGCCGCCAAGCCTCCACTAGGAATTTAAGTCGCTCCAAAAATGTCTGAAAGCAAGCCCCCCCCCAAAAAAAAAACAGACCAAGGAGGCACCGCATTGGTGGCTGCCAGCAGAGGAGTGCAGGAGGAGGAGCTGCTGCCTGGCAATGCGAATGCGTGTTCAGATGTCTGAAAAAACAAGGACCTAGCGCATGCACGTTTGCGTCAGGCAGAGAGGCTGAGAACAGAACACAAGGCCGTGAGCCCCTGCAACAACCCCTGCCTCCACGAACAGCTTCCAGTTCGTGCGCCGCGTTGCCAGCCCACGTCTCGACAGCAAGGCAACGATAAAGGACAGCAGTGAACGAAACCCTAAACCCTAAACCCTAAACCCTAAACCCCTAAACCCTAAACCCTAAACCCCTAAACCCTAAACCCTAAACCCTAAACCCTAAATCCTAAATCCTAAACCCTAATCCCTAAACCCTAAACCCTAAACCCTAAACCCTAAACCCTAAACCCTAAACCCTAAACCCTAAACCCTAAACCCTAAACCCTAAACCCTAAACCCTAAACCCAAACAGGATCCCAAGGTCCCACCTAGGCGCAAGTCACAACTACTGAACCTGCACCCCAGTATGCGCCTCAGCGTCTGATGCAATGGAGACCCGCCCATTGACATCACACATCTCCTGCTCATGGAGCCGAAGAAAAAAGAACAGAGCTGTAAAGCAAAAACTCTCGTAGATCATTCCACAAAGACACAAAGACACTGGGGCAGCAGAAGCAAGAAGCCTCGTCCGTGGGCGCACTGTCGATGAGAGTGCAGGGCTCATCCGGCGACATTAAAGATCCTGCCATGGCAAACGCGCAACAACTCAGACAGGTCTCATGAGTTGTTGGTCAGAGGATAAGGCACACATGCTCAGACAGCACATGGCACCCCAGAAGACCTACTTACCAAATCCTACGTTCTGCTGCTTACAGAGAATGGATATACACCAGGAGAGGAGCCTACCGCTTGCATATCCGTTGTTATACACTATCCATCTGGAAATTGTAGTTTTGCAGAGCAGAAGAACCGAGGCCTGGCTGCACGACTTGCTCCTCCATGCTGGGCGACCAACCTCTAGCGCAGACAGATGCATGAGGAGAAAAAACAGAGAGGGCCACGTGCAAGGTACACTACTTCGAGCAGCACCCAGCGTAAAGAAGGCTTGAGTCTCACATGACATGCCAGAGCTTAGAAAAGGCTGAGCAATGGACTGTAGGCAGGGGAGTGGTCATTGGGGATAGCTTCAGAACCGGAGTCACTGGAGATAGGAATCACCATGTGACCTGCCATCCGATCCCTGCGTCGCTTGCGAAGCATGCGAAGCAAAACTGACCTAGGCAACTTGGGTGGCAGATCCTGCAGGATTCCAGTCCACCCCGGATCTCTGTCGTCAAAAGAAAGAGTAGTGGCCACTCGACGAGCCTCATCCAATGAACCCTGAACAGACAACATCGATGAAAGCAAGGGCAAAGGCGAAATCATTCATCTCAGTCAAAGAAGCGCCAGAGAGAAGCCAGCCATAAGCCTTGGCAAGTACCACTCCAAAGTCACGAGGATATATGGCGCTCAACTTCATGAGCTCATTCCCGGTCCTGACAGCTAATTGCACTCAATGAGTATTGCTCTAGCATTTTTTGGTCCCTTTACATTGTGTAGAGAAAGGAAACGATCACACATTCCACACTCGGCAATCCTCCAACGCCCACGCTGTGTCGTCAACTGAAAAGGCGCGCGAGCACGCAGCAGCAATGCCAGTTTTCCACTCAGATAGTCCAGCAACTTTAAGCCCCGCCAGGTACCACGCAGAAGCAAAGGTTTGCTAGAGAATCCTCCAAAGAAGAGCATGCTGATACGAATCGTATAGTGCACATTCTCCACAGCTGAGACCTGCCCCTCATTGCCCGGAAGAGATGCAAATAGTGAGTGTATGGATGGCCAGTCACACAGAATTGAGCCAGCCTGTGGAAGGATTGAAAAAAAGCATTTAGCCAGCGAAAATAAACACGAACCGACACTGCAAGCAAAAATAGCACATACTGCAGACCAGATAGCGGGCTGTTCCAGCACGAACTCCACCCCCAGCCAGAGGCATAGAGGCAGAATCAGGTCGCCAACTATATTTGCTGTACTGTTCGCAGCTGCAACATGCTGTAGACTACCGTTGCCTTTGATATCCTTAGATTGCCATCCAACAACCATTGCAAAAATGACATGTCGCACTCGAAGTCGAAGTACAAAAAGTCATTCTTCCTGCTGAACAACCTAAACCTTTAAAAGCATCAAGCAACAGCAATGTATTCAGAAAAAACGAGAAACCACACAACGCATACTCGTCGATCGATTTATGAAGATCCAGGAACCACATGTCACCGAAAGCAGGCAAAGCCCGCCAGGTCGAACTCGAGCAATCCGTGAGCAGAGCTGCCGCAGGGAATCTTCGTGATGAATGTTGTGGTCTGCACTCTGACCTGGTGTTGTTGATTCTAGTCTAGAGATCTTCAGGGACTGCCAGTTCAGGATTAAGGGTTTGGGGTTTAAGGTTTAGGTCCCAGCATACTCTACAATCTGAGAGGCACTTGTCAAACGAAAATACTCGCCAACCAGCAGCTCTGAATGCCTGTCCAACAAAATCGGCCCCTGCACCAATGTGTACCATGTCCAGATTCTCATCCCCCAACACCAGGTGACGAGTCGCTCGTCCTGGAGTCACCCGTGCAATAACGAAGAAGCACGTTTAACTGTGTAACAGCCCAGACCCAGCTAACCCACCTAAGCTGACCCAAGATCGTTTTTTTTTGCACTTACTTTTCAACCAAGCATCCACCAACTGTGGAAAAGATCGGGTTCTCGCCAGCCAGCCATGACTTCACAGCGTCCAGCGAGAGAGGGCTGGGACGGTTATGGACAGGCAGCATCCTATCTCGACCCTCACTGGCTGCCAACAACTCTCCAGTCGAAGACCCAATCCGTCATCTCAAATCCTTGTAAAGCGTATGTAAGAGAATGATGCCCTATAAGTATGTGCATCTGTGGTCGGAATGGAATGTCAAGGGTTAGAGTACTAATCACCCAGTCTAGGCCCTTATCAAGCCACTGATATCTTGGACGCCTTCGCCGCCAGAGCGAGATAATCACAAACTCTTTTTTAACCCTCAGCGCTGAAACCCCCCCTACGCCCAAAAAGCCCTATAAACCCTGCAAAACCCTAAAGCCCTAAACCGCAAACCCTCAAAGCCCTAAACCCTGAAACCATACACCCTAAAACCCTTGAAACCCTCTAAACCCTAAACCGTAATAAACCCTACATTGAAAATCCATAATGAAGCCCTTGAAATCCTAAACCCCCATCGTTTGCCATTTTTAAAAAGCGCCCACCCGTGACGCAGCTGCTGCTTTCCGCTTCGAGAGCAGGCTGCCGGATCCGACCCTGAGCCCAACAAGCTCTAGGGTTTAGGGTTTAGGGTTGAGGGTTTAGGGTTTAGGGTTTCGGGTTTAGGGTTTAGGCTTCAGGTTATGGGGGTGTACGATACGAATACTAGGGGTACTTTTGGGGGTCCTCAGAATCAGGGGATTGTACGATTTTGGGGGACGACATTAGGGGCCCCTTCTTTTCGTAAACCTCCATATGGGGCTTAGGATTTCTGGTTCAGGGTTTAGGGGTTGGGAGGCTTCAGGATATAGCTCCGAGTTAACAACCCTAAACCCTAAACCCTAAACCCTAAACCCTAAACCCTAAACCCTAAACCCTCAAGAACCCGCAGCCGCGCACCTTGCTCCAAGAATATTTTCATCTGCTCTTAAAAGAAGTAGGCCATGAGGCACCCTCAATCCGCCAGAACAGCCCTTTCAAGAATTCTATAGGGTGCTCATGTTCCCGACAAAACCCCAGGAAGTAACACCCCAACACTCTAAACCCCTAAAGCTCCCAAGCCCTACTTAAGTAAGAAGAACTTGTCAGAAGAATGGGCTTTGGAGTACTATACTTTAATACTTTTTTTGTTCTGGGTTCCTATTATCACTACTTATACCAAAAAAGTATACACTTTTTTTTCAGGGTCTACTCCAAAGAATGGGCTTTGGGTCGAGTAGGGTGGGGTTTCGGCTACAGCGGAGACTCGTGGGCTTCGAAGCAGCTCAGACGTGTGAGGGCGCTGGAGAAGAAGGCGTTAAGTCTTGGTTTGGGTTCACTTAGGGTGTCCAGGGTTTAGGGTTGAGGGCCCAAAAAGTGCTTTGCACCCTGAAATCAGAGTTTCAATTTTCGGGTTTAGGGCAACTTCTAGCCCTAAGCCCTAAGCCCTAAGCCCTAAGCCCTAAGCCCTAAGCCCTAAGCCCTAAGCCCTAAGCCCTAAGCCCTAAGCCCTAAGCCCTAAGCCCTAAGCCCTAAGCCCTAAGCCCTAAGCCCTAAGCCCTAAGCCCTAAGCCCTAAGCCCTAAGCCCTAAGCCCTAAGCCCTAAGCCCTAAGCCCTAAGCCCTAAGCCCTAAGCCCTAAACCCACCCTACCCGGAGCGACGTGGGCTTCGGGTCGGGGTGGGGATGGACAGCTTGCGTGCGCATGTTTAGCTTCCTTGCTAGCCCAAAGCCCGAAACTCCAGAACTCCAAACCCCACACCGCAAACCCTAAACACCCGAAGCCTAAGAAACCCAAACCTTAAAACCCCAAACCCTAAACCTGACGCCCTAAATTTTAAACACCCGAAGCCAAAGAAACCCAAACCCTGAGACCCCAAGCCCTGAACAGAAGGCCCTGCTATGGAGCAAGAGCAAGCTCCACCTTGGACCGTTAAGGTGGCACCCTTGAGTTTGGGGGATCCGTTTTGAAAGCTTCCTGAGGTAGTATAAGAAACCCAATCATATTAGGAGCAGATGAAGGGAAAGCCTTTAAGGGTAAAACCTTAGGGGTATGAGTCTCGGTCCTTTGAAGGAGCTGCAGGCTAACAAACCTCCAGGCAGGTCTAGGCTTGAGCGTTTAGGGTTTGGGGCCTGAACCCTGAACCCCAAACACCGAAGCCCAAACCCTAAACCAACCCCCAGCCCCTCAAGTCTAAGCCCCGGACCTGAACCCTGAACCCTAAACCCGAAACCCTAAACCGAGGAATACACCCTGGAGTGAGGCCAGAAGACATTCTCGCCTCCCCCCAAGCTGCAGATGTTTGGGCTGAGGCATGCTCGCGGCCAGACTTTTAGGAGCCGGAATAGGCTTCAGAGGGTTTAGGGCTTCGGGTTTAGAGTTTCGGAGGGCGAGAAGGGCCAGCCGATGCGGCTGACATAGCTTGGTCCTTCCGCCCATCGGTTTCGGCGCCTGGTGCCTAAATGGGCAATACTTGGGCTGGAAAGTGGTCCTTACTATAGATGTATATGTATCTCTATCTGCCTATGTATAAATACAATTGTATATATATATATATATATATGTATGTATATGTATATATATATATATATATGTATATGTATATGTATATGTATATGTATATGTATATGTATATGTATATGTATATGTATATGTATATGTATATGTATATGTATATACAGGCTTATTTCATATAGTATATATACTTATACGTATACACATACATATACCTATACATATACCTATACATATACATATACATATACACATACATATACATATACATATACATATACATATATATATATATTATACATACATATGTACATGTATACATATTCTTTATGTACTTCTTCATGTATACTAAGGCATCCGCGGCCCAAGTATGTGAATAATGTTGAGGTACATGAACCTTGGGGTGACTTGAGCTGGACGATGCCAGAGCTGCGGGACCCTCCCAGGGAGCGAGGGGGGAAGTTGGGAAAGCACTCTTGCGCGCGCGAAGCGGCGTCGGACTTCGAGGCACCGCCACCTTCAACACGCTCCGAAGACCTCCGAGGAATTAGGGTTTAGGGTTTGGGGTTTAGGGCGCTACGCTGGAACCGTCGAAAGTCTGCAAGGCAAAAGGCAAAAAGATTGGGATGCTTGGACGTCAGAGCTTGGGCGCGGAGCGCGCGGCGGCAGCTGGCTGGACAAAGCGCGTCGGGGCTTGCAGGACATGCCCAGAAGGGTTTAAAAACCCAAAGCCCCAGGACATTGTTTTTTTTTCTTTCGTGTGTGTGTGTGTGTGTCTGTGTGTTATAGAGTTTTTGCAGGCACATGCTTAAGAGCAGTGTGTGTGTGTGTGTTATTATAAGCTTCTGCAGGCACATGCTTAAGAGCACGCACTTCATTGGCCAGTAGTTCTAACGCGCGAAAGAAGAAGGATCAGATGGGTTTCTGCAAGCCGAGCATCCCAGAGCCTCTCACGTAGTCTCTTGGGGGGTTTAGGGTTTAGGGGGTTCAGGGCTTGGGGTTCTAAACCCTAAACCCTAGACCCTAGACCCTAAACCCTAAACCCTAAACCCTAAACCCTAAACATTAAACATTAAACCCTAACCCTAAACCCTGTCGCAGGAGATCCGGCAACTGGGAAAGGGCTCTGGCACTCCTTGCCGAGATGGAGCTGCAGAGCTCCTTGAAAGGCCCTTGGGATGCTTTGTAGTTAATTTGCTTTGGTGGATTTACTACTCTTTGCTGAAGAATCCCCCCCCCCCAACAAAAAAAACAAAAAACCCTAAACCCTAAACCATTTCAATTTCAATTTTGTTGATCTCCCAGGGGTCTGGGCTAGGGCGTCTTAGGGCTTAGTAGCCCATGAACCCAGCCCATGGTTCAGGGACCCTGTGCCCGAAACCCTGAACTCCATAAACCCTAAAGCCCGAAACCCCTAACCCGGGTTCGGGGTTTAGGGTTTAGGGTTTAGGGTTTAGGGTTTAGGGTTTAGGGTTTAGGGTTTAGGGTTTAGGGTTACCCTAAAGCCCGCAACCCTAATACAAATCCCTAAGCCCTATGCCCCGGCAGCCCCGGCATGCTGGAAGCAAGGTTTCCGGCCCGACCTCATTGCAATTAGCGTCGCCATCTCCGTGTGCGAGAAGATGGGCGCCTCGGCACTGATTCGGGGCGTTTAGGGTTTAGGGTTTATGGGTTTTAGGGTTTTAGGGTTTTAGGGTTTATGGGTTTTAGGGTTGTAGGGTTTTAGGGTTTTAGGGTTTTAGGGTTTTAGGGTTTTAGGGTTTTAGGGTTTTAGGGTTTAGGGTTTTAGGGTTTTAGGGTTTTAGGGTTTAGGGTTTAGGGTTTAGGGTTTAGGGTTTTAGGGTTTAGGGTTTAGGGTTTTAGGGTTTTAGGGTTTTAGGGTTTTAGGGTTTTAGGGTTTTAGGGTGTTATTGGCTTCTAGGTCGGCCCGTCGAGCTTTCATTTTTTCCCGTATTTGGCTTAAGAGGATCCTATTCAGGAGCATTTTTCAGAGGGTCTTCAGGGCCGTCCTAGAGTTTATAGTTTAGGACTCTTAACAATAGAGGATTTAGGGCTCAGGGGCTTGAACGGGAAATTCGTGTCAACCTTGAACAAGCCCTGAAGCCCCCGAAGCAGCCGAAGCATCCCAAAACCCTCAGCACCAAGCACGAAACTCCTGGGGCTTCGCCTGAGGCTAAACCCTAAGCCCTAAACTCAGGGAATGGTAATCCCTAAACCCTAAACGCTGAACTCATGAAACCCGGGCTCGGAGTATTGGCATGGAATCGTTCAGAGCGGGCAGGGTTGGTTTAGGGTTTAGAGTTTAGGGTTTAGGGTTTAGGGTTTAGGGTTTAGGCTCGAGGGTTTAGAACCCAAAAGTTCCCAGAGAGCCACTTGAGGCCGCTGGGAAGCGGCCTTGGACCTGCTGCAGCCCGGCCTTAGGGTTGGGGTTTGGGGTTTAGGGTTTAGGGTTTAGGGTTTAGGGGTTAGGGTTGAGGGTTTAGGGTTTAGGGTTTAGGGCTTAGACTTATTAGGTGTTAGGGTTTAGGGTTTAGGGTTTTTGAGTTGTTTGGGGGTTTGGGGTTTTAGGGTTTAGTAGGGTTTCATAAGGGCATTTGGGCTTTTTAGGGGCTTCGGGGTCAGCGTTTAGGGATTGCAGGAATATGGGCTTCAGGGTATGGGTTTGTGTTCGGCTTCTTGAGCTTCAAGAAGGATTTCGGGGTTCTTCGGCTTGAGGGTGTTTGGAGGCTTGGGTGCAGTATTTAGGGCTATAAATCCTGAAAGCGCTACCTGAATCCAAAGAAGCGAAAAAGCCTAAACCCTAACACCTAAACCCAGAGCCGCCCTTAAAGCCTGTGCCAGAATATTCTGGACCCAAAAGCCCAAACTCAAAGCCAGCCTTAAAGCCTGTGCCTGAAACTCTCCAAAAGCCCCCAAGCGTGCAAACCTCAACCCCCGAAAGCATCCTGAAACACCCTCAGCCCTAGCCCCGTAAGCCCCTGTAATTCCTACACCCTCAACCATAGACACGCCAAAACCTTAAACCTTACTAAACAGTATACATCCCCAATCCTAAACTTTGTAATCTAAACCCTCAACCCCAAACCCCAAGCCCTACACCCTAAACCCTAAACCCCAAACCCTAAACCCCTAAACCCTAAGCCCTAAAACCCTAAAGGTGGGAGCTGCCGCAACGCCGCTTCCGTGCAGATGTGGTGGCCTATAGCTCGGCCGTGTCCTCCTGCTCCAAAGCGGCGACTTGGAGGCGGTTTAGGGTTTAGGGTTTGGGGTTTAGGGTTTAGGGTTTGGGGTTTAGGGTTTAGGGTTTAGGGTTTCGGATTCCGGGTTTAGGGTTTAGGGGTTTACCCTAGACGCGATCATCGCCGGTGTTGCAGTTCCTGTCGGGTTAGGAGGGGGTGGATGATCTAGGTTTTGCAGCTGCAGGCTCGCTGTTCATCATGTTTGTTTAGGGTTTAGGTTTTAGGGTTTGGGGTTTGGGGTTTAGGGTTTAGGGTTTAGGGCTTAGGGCTTGGGGCTTTAGGATATCATACGTCCCGTAGTTAAAACATGCGTGTTAAACCCTAAACCTCAAACCCTAAACCCAATAGGGTTCCCTAAACCCAAAACCCTACCTCGGCTCGGGATGTTGAATCCCTGAACTCCCTTCACCAGATGAACACAAAGCATACGCATCTCAAAGAAGTGACGTACATCTCCTTTATATGAAAAGCTACATGATACAGGTTTTCTCTGTGAACCAGGTACTTGGAGGTGTAGTGCACATAACCCAAGTATCAGTGTAGTTAGAACCCACTTATAAGCACCTCAAGTACCCGAATTGGGCGATAGCCCCAAACCCTAAACCCTAAACCCTAAACCCTACACCTTAATTCCTAAACCCTAACCCTAAACTCTAAACCCTCTTAGGTTAGAAGCACAGCTATACTTGGGTTTCTACGTACCCTGAACCTCCAAGTAGAGAGGCGGCTTCAGGCGTTATAACCCTAACCCTTAAACCCTAGCGCTCAACCCTAAACCCTAAAGCCTAAACCCTAAACCCTAAACCCTAAACCCTAAACCCTAAACCCTAAACCCTAAACCTTGGGTTCCTAAGTACCCTGAACCTCCAAGTAGAGTTGCGGCTTGAGGGCCCCGCGCTCTCAGTTTTTGCGGAGTTGAGGCCAACTGGCCAGCAGCTCTTCAGCTGCTGGACTCCTGGTAGGGTTTAGGGTTTAGGGTTTAGGGTTTAGGATTTAGGGTTTAGGGTTTAGGGTTTAGGGCAATTTAGGGTTTTACGTTTCAGGGTTTTAGGGAGTCTAGGGCATGAAGCCGAACCTGGGATCCAAGCCTTGTGGGGCTTATTTGCAGACTCCAAAAACATCCAAAGTGGCGGCCTCTACCCTGTAGATGTAGGGTTTAGGGTTTAGGGTTTAGGGTTTAGGGTTTAGGGTTTAGGGTTTAGTGTTTAAGGTTTAATGCAGAACCTCAGCCAAGTGCGTAGTTAATCGAGCCCAGGTGCGGCTGAATTCGGTTTCAGGCTTTCTGCTACGGTTTAGGGGCCGTATCTAGCCAACCGTTGTGCTTCAAACTTTGGGGGTTGCCGTATCTTGTAGAAAAAAGTAAAGATTGGCCTTGGTAGTTCCTGCTTGTGGAACCCTACACCCTACACCCTGAACCCTAAACCCCAAACCCTAAACCCTAAAAACCCGAAGCAAGTAGAACGCTTCAGGTCCGAATTCGATCTCGAAACCACGAGAAACACACATCGCGAGCCGCTGTTACGCTTCCTCAAGTTATACTTAGTAGTAGAGTAGGTAACCTTTAACCTTTTTGGGGTAATAGAATCCCCTTATCTTCCCAAAGGTTAACCTTTAATTCCCCCAGGTTACTGGACAACTAAGTATAGGGTTCTTAAGGGAGGGCCTTCAACGGGGGGGTATGCAACCCAAGGTTCCCTCCTACTCCCCACTCCTCCCTAGTTAGGCTCCTGAAGCTTCCCGAAGGTTCCCTATAGGTACCTACCCCACATGAACCCCCCTCCCTTAAGAACCTTATAACCCAAAACCCGAAACCCTCAACCCTCAACCCTAAACCCTAAACGCTAAACCCTAAACCCTAAAACCTAAACCGGGTATAGGGTTGGGCCTTCCGGAACTTCCCCTCTCGGAGGACGCCGCGCAGCGCGACGAGGTGAAACCCAACAGTTGCTCTTCGCGGAATCACACTCACTTACTGTTTAGGGTTTAGGGTTTCGGGTTTGGGGTTCAGGGTTTAATAAGTTCAGGGCTTACAGGGATTGTGCAGGGAGCCCTAAACCATATGGGTGGTTGTCAAAATTATGGTCCCCTTTGGGGTTCCTGATATAGTACGTACGGCACCTCTAATATTTAGGGTGTCCAAAAACGGACCCTAATTTTGACAACTACCCATATGTCTGTAAACCCTCAACCCTACTTAATTGCTCTGTTGTCTTAGTAAGTCTACTTAGTATCCACTAGAACAGCCTGTTATAATCCTCAGAACCCACCCTACTAACCCTACTAACTAAGTCGAAAGGGCTTCCAAGTAGTAAACCAGAATAAGCCCCAATAAACCCGAACAAAGCCCTAACCCTCATGCCCAAATCAGGTTTTCTGTGCAGTTCCTGTGTAGTTCGCTTCACCTCAAAGACGACATGAACCTTTGAAATCGGGTTCAGGTATACGCTATACACATACACCACTACAAACATCCCCTTTCCGGAATTTCTAGCCCCAGTCAAACCTACCTACTCACCTCCAACTGGAGTTCGGCCTTTTTAATAAACAGCGTTTTATCTAGTACAGGATCTACGAAAGTTTATGGGCCTGCAGGCGCCTGTAAACCCTTAAACCCCATGAGCCCTGTAAACCCTAAACCCTAAACCCTAAACCCTAAACCCTAAACCCTAAACCCTAAACCCTAAACCCTAAACCCTAAACCCTAAACCCTAAACCCTAAACCCTAAACCGTAACCCTAAACCCGAAATCCCAGGCGTCACCTACAACGGTGCAATCACAGCCTGCGGAAGGGCCAGCGAGCTGCTCGGCTTGCACTTGTCCGTCCGCTCTTGCCCTCTGGGGTTTAGGGTTTAGGGTTTAGGGTTTAGGGTTTAGGGTTTAGGGTTTAGGGTTTAAACTCCAGACAGTTGGAACATGGCTTAAGGATGATTGGAGCTTAGATTCCCTTTGGTATACCTTATGGGGCATGGAGATACGGATGTTCGAGCTTTTTTTGGGAGTTTACTATACAGGGAGGGGCCCCTTACCATACTGAGCATACTGAAGTTGTAGTGCTTGGGCACCTTAACCTCCAAACCCGAAGCCCTACAACGTGCTCAATTCGTTGAAGCCAGCTATGCCCAAAAGCCCAGCAGAAGCTGCCCCCACTAGCGAGCTCTTGGGCCCTAAGCTTTACATCCTATAAGGCCCAAGTAGTTTTCTAGAAATACATGGGCCCTTACTAGGATACCCAGTAGTACACTTATTCCCTTTTTTTGGGGGGGGGGGCTCTAGGTTCCCTTATAAACCCCTTTAAGCACAAAACGGGGCACCCTTTTAAGCCTTGGTTACTGGGCAGCCTAGCACTCTAGAACCTGGGCCCTATTATGGAATTAGGTACCCAAAAACCATACTAAATAGGGTTTTCGAGTACCTGATTCCATAACAGTGCCACAAATGGACCCTCTGGGCCCTCAGGGCCCCCAGAAGAAGGTGGAAACGCGCCCTGGCGATGCTGGAAGAAGCTAAAGCGGGACGGCTGGATCCAGAGGAGGCACAACCCGGTTCAGAGGGTTTAGGGTTTAGGGGTTTAGGGGTTTAGGGGTTTTGGGGTTTAGGGGTTTAGGGGTTTGGGGTTTAGGGTTTAGGGTTTAGGGTTTAGGGTTTAGGGTTTAGGGTTTAGGGGTTTAGGGTTTAGGGTTTGGGGTTTAGGGTTTAGGGTTTAGGGTCTGTTTGCGGCTCTTGTTGTACTACAGGTTTTGGCTTAGGGTTCAGGGCATTGGGGATTCATGGGATTTGGGGGGGTTTGGGAGTTTCGGGTGCAGTTCGAGTTTTATGTTCTTGTGGTTGCAGGCGTTAGGGCTCAGGTTTCTAGGGGTTTTGGGGCTTGAATTTCATGCTTCAGGTGTCTTGGGCGTTTAACGGGCATTTTGGTGGTTAAGGTTTAGGGTTTAGGGTTTCGAGTAGTTTTAGGTTTGGGGTTGGTTTGGTAGCTTGAGAACACACACCCTAAAGCCGAGGCCCTAAACCCACTTACCGACGGTCTCCGTGTTGAAGCCCGCACAAACTCACGCACACGGCTTCATCTGAGTCATGGCGCTTTTTTGGGCATTAGCCCTACAACCCACTAAGCCTAAACCCCAAACTCCCCCGAAAACCCACTAATCCTAAACCCTAAGCCCTTAAAGCCTAGCCCCCAAACCCCAAACCCTAACAACCCTAAACCCTAAACCCCAACCCCTAAACCCTAAACCCTAAACCCCAAACCCTCTTCAATGAGGTGTCCGTGCACACCTCGGCCATCAGCGCTTGCGGGGCTGCTTCGCAGTGGCAGTTGCTCGGAGGGACTGTTTAGGGTTTAGGCTTTAGGGTTTGGGGTTTAGGGTTTAGGGCTTAGGGTTTAGGGTTTAGGGTTATTGTTCAGGGTTTAGGGTTTAGGATACATGGTTTAGGGTTTAGGGTTTATTATTGGCGGGTTTAGGAGTCTTAGGGCTTAGGTGATTTTAGGGTTTTATCAAGGGATTAAGACTCGTACCCCTGAGGTTGTACCCCTAAGAGGCTCCCCTGAATATACTCCCAATATGGCCCTTTTACTGCCTGAAGGGTCTTAAAAACAGGTTCCCCCAAAACCCAAGGGTACAACCTTGAGGGGTCCAAGGTACAACCCCCACAGATTCTTAGGGCTTTAGGCTTTTAGGGCCAATGAGGGGTTTAGGGTTTAGGGTTTAGGGTTTAGGGTTTAGGGTTGAGAGTTTTGGTTTTGGGTTCTAAGGTCGTGGTTTAGGTGGTTTTTTCCGGGTTCTCAGAGGGATACGATGGACTCCTTTCCCAAAGGGTCCTAAGTACCTGCATAGTAGAAAGTAGGGTTTCTATAATAGGAATTACCATTATGGTTTGGGTAAGTGACCCCCATATAGGTACTTAGGATTCTTTGGGTTTCAGTGGCCTTAGGAGTTGGGGGTTTGGGTTTAGAGTTTAGGGTTTCTAGAGGTCAGGGCTGCTGGCTAAGTTTAGGGGTTCAGCTTTACCGAACCTGCGGATTCTAGGCCTTCATATGGGCTTTAGGGTTTAGGGTTTAGGGTTCAGGGTTCAGGGTTAGGGTTTAGGGGTTTTCCGGATCTCGGGCTGCCCTTCGAGGCTGAGTGCAAGAATCCGCCTAAGGCTGGCTGTGGCCTTGCTGCAGGAAGCTGAGGCAGGCAGGGCCAACGTGGTGCTCTACAACGCGGCCATGCACCTCCGCAGCATTGGCGTGCACCCGAAGCGCAACCCCATATTGGGCTATAAGCCCCACGTCTAGACTAGATCCCTCAGCCGCAATTTTCACCCCAAGCGCCCTCAACCCCTGAGTTTCTGAACCCCCCGAAGGCGTAAATCCTCCTCCTTTATCAGAGCCCCAAACCTGCTGTGGGTTTTGGGTCCTAAGCCCTACAAGCCCCTATGGCCCTAAACCCTAAACCCTAAACCCGAAACCCTAAACCCTAAACCCTAAACCCTAAACCCTAAACCCTAAACCCTAAACCCCCTTAAACCCTAAACCCTAGACCTGAAATCTTCTGCAGAAGGAGCGCCCTGGAGCAATCGGGGCTGTGGTCCCAGGTGCTGCGGCTGCTGGCCCGACTGCCGGCGGTGGCCTGTCTGCCAAGGGGGTTTAGGGTTTAGGGTTTAGGGTTTAGGGTTTATAGGGTTTATAGGTTCAAGATTTCTAGGGCCCGCAGTACTTGGAAGCCATAAGCTTGTTTGGGGTGTGTGTTCAGGGGTTAGGGAGCAGAGTTTTAGGGTTTCGGGTTTAGGGTTTAGGAGGAGCACTTGGAAGCCCCTTTGACTTAGTAAGTAGGGTTAGTAAGGCGGGTTATGATAGGGTTTCTAGGGGATACTGAGTAAGACTTACTAAGTCAAAAGCGCTTCCAAGTAGGCCAAGGAATTCTAGGGAACGGAATCTTGGCCCCTAATTTCCTTAGTGGGGGGGCTCGGGTTCCCGTGAAAGCCCCTCTAAACCCCAAAAGGGTACCCTGTTTCAAATTCCAAGGTTGCTCTTGGATCTAGACTGTATAGTCTCGGAGAGTTTAGGGAGTTAAGGCTTGCGGGGTTAGAGGGTTTGCCGGGTTTCGGGTTTAGGGACTAAGAGTCGCAACTTGATTCGCACACGCAAAAGTCTAACCTCCACCCCTAAACCCTGAACCCTGAGCAAACTCCAGGCCCGGTTCCCTACTTGCCCTAAACCCTAAACTCTTCAGGCGTGGAAGAAGGTACCTATCTGGGGTTCGGGTTTAGGGTTTAGGGCTTGGGGTTTAGGGTTTAGGGTTTAGGGTAAGCCCTAGAACCCAAGCGCTGGAGGTCAGAATTTCCGCTTCACTTGTCTCCATCAACACAGCCCTCAGCGCAGTGGCAAAGGCCGCGAGGGCGGGCGTAGAGGTCCCTGAATGGCGGGTTAGGGAGTTGAACGTGGTTTCTTACCTCTCTAAAGGGTTCTGAATGTAGGGTTTAGGGTTTAGGGCTTAGGGTTTAGTCTCGATATCTGCACGCCAGAGTTAGAGTATGTGTATCTATAGGGTCGGGGCGACAGCTCTCATGGCTGAAGAGGGTGCCCTCCCTTGAGGGTTTGGGGTTTGGGGTTTAGGGTTTACGTTTTAATTAGGCTTTGGGGTTTAGGGTTTGGGGTCTGGGGTTTATGGTTTACGGCTTAGGCTTTGTCCTTGCCGCTCTCGCTGATCAGGCTGGGTTGTGGCCACGTGCGCTGGAGCTGGCATTGCTCGCAGAAGCTCAACCTCAACACTCTAGGGCTTAGGGTTTGGGATTTAGGGTTTAGGGTTGGTGTTTAGGTTTAAGGCCTCAGGGTTTGGGGTTGAGGGGTAGCTATCCTTTTAGGGTCCCTTTATGGCTGTGTCCATTCAGGATGAAAGTATGCTCTCTTCAACAGAGGCTGCATTCCCGGCTACCCTTAAAACAAGGGACATGTGCCATCATTTTTGGGAAACCCAACCCTGCACCGTAAGCCCTAGACCCCAAACCCTTTCTTGGCGGCCCAAGATTGCCCTAAAGAAGAACCACCTGGGGTTCAGATCTGGGGTTGCCGGTGCAGCGTGTAGTCCGCGCAGGTGCCACCTGCAGCCCCAAACTCTAAGACCTCAATCGTCGGGTTTAGGGTTTAGGGTTTATAGGGTTTAGGGGTCTAGGGTTTCGGGTTTAGGGTTTAGGGTTTAGGGTTTAGGGTTTAGGGTTTAGGGTTTAGGGTTCAGGGTTCAGGGTTCAGGGTTTAGGGTTCAGGGTTTAGGGTTTAGGGTTTAGGGTTTAGGGCTACTAGGACCCCGGAGTAGACTCTACTTACCTAAGAAAACCAAAAAGGGCACCCTTGTTCTCAGAGGTTACTCTTCAGGGGTCTAGACAAGCACCGGAAGAATGTCGGGGACATAGCCCCGATACCCGGAACCCTAAACCCTAAACCCTAACCCCTAAGGCCCGTGAGGCGCTCTTGCTTTCTAGGTGCGCCTGGGGGGGGAGGGAGTTTTGGCAAAGGGTGCTTTCTTCTTGAAGGAGCCACAAACTCCTGGGAGCCCAGGAAGTTAGGGTTCAGGGTTTAGGTTTTTAGGAAGTTAGGGGTTTTTAGGGCTTAGGGGCTCAGGGGTTTAGGGTTTGAAGTTTAGGGGTTCAGGGTTTTAGGGTCCAGGGCCAGGGGTTTTGGGGTTTAGGTCTTCGGGTCAAGCTTAGAGAATTTCTTACAAGGTTCGGGGTCTATAGGTTTCTGGATAACTTGTTGGCTTTCAATCTTCACCCCGACGCCCCAAGACTCTAAATCATAGCCCCGAACCCCTAACCCCTAAGCCCTGAATCCCCAAACCCCTTCCAGGAGAATGCTGGACTGCAGCCGGATGAAACGACCTTCAATGCAGCTGGCACCGCCCCTCGAATGCCTAACGCCCTCTTCCAAAATAAGGGTTTGGTTTAGGGTTTAGGGTTTAGGGCTCAGGGTTTCAATGGGGAATAGGAGCCCGCTTTAGACCGCTTAACCACGCATGCCGACTACCCCCCCCCCCCCCCCCCAAACCTTGCAAGCCCAAAACCTCATAAACCCTCAACCGTGTACCCTCAAGACATGTAAAACCAAAAAGCCTGAAGCTTGTAAACCCCCAAAACCCTATGATCCTGTTTCAAAAGCCCAACCAACACTCTCAAACTTAGGAAACCCTTATAGCCTGCAACCCTAAAACCCAAAACCCTACGGCCCTCTCCCCATTATTCCCTTTACCCAAAATTGTCGGTTCAAGGCTTCCCTTGTACTTTATGATCATGTGGTTACATGGCTACAAGAACACCCTAAAACTCAAAATAGCCCATAAACCTTTTGCTTGGTTTAAGAGGGCCTGTAGGCCCCAAAAAACTCATAATGTCAGTCCTTGGAGCCTCCGGGTGGCCCTAAACCCTAAACCCTAAACCCTAAACCCTAAACCCTAAACCCTAAACCCTAAACCCTAAACCCTAAACCCTAAACCCTAAACCCTAAACCCTGAACCCTGAACCCTGAACCCTAAACCCTAAACCCTGAACCCTAAACCCTAAACCCTAAACCCTAAAACCCTAAACCCTAAACCCCAGGGTGCTGGGGAACCGAGGCCTGCGAGAGATCCGGCAACTGGCGGCTGGGGGTGCGGCTGCTGGCGGCGACTGGGGCCTGAAAAATCTCAGGAGGGTTTGGTTATTTTGGGTTTATAGGGTTTATAGGGTTTAGAGTTTATAGGGTCTAGTGTTTGTAGGGTTCAGGGTTCAGGATTTAGGGTTTATAGGGTTTAGGGTTTAGAGTTTTGGAGTTTAGGGTTAAGGGTTTAGGGTTTGTAGGGTTTAGGGTTTGTAGGGTTTAGGGTTGAGGGTCTAGGGTTTAGGGTTCTAGTAACAGCTTGCGTGGCTGGTCCATTCAAAGGGGGTGTGGTTGATGATTCGGAGCCTCTTTTGTCATTGTTTCATGTCGCGCTTGGCCCGCACGAAGTTTTTAGCACGCCGAGGGCGCTGCTCTGCGGCAGCTGCGGCTGAGCATGATCGGCACCCTGGACGATGTAGAGTGAAGGGAGGGCCAAGAGAGGGTTAGGGGTTTAGGGTTTAGGGTTTAGGGTGGCTGGGCTTAGGGATTGCTTTTGCCCTTTGGTGCCCAGACCCCAAAGCCCTCAACGTTTAGGGCTTAGGCAAGGTTTTCAGGGTCTTGTGTGTGGTCAAGGCTTTTAAGAACCAAAAACCTTAAACCCTAAACCCCAAAACCCCCTAAACCTCAAACCCTAAACCCCAATCCCTCAAAACCCTAAACCCTAGTCCCCCAAATCCCTAAACCCTAATCCCTCAAATCCCTAAACCCTAAGCCCTGAACGCTAATCCCTCAACCCTAAACCCCAAACCTTAAACCCCAAACCCTAAACCCTCAACCCTAAACCCCAAATCCTAAACCCCAAGCCCTAAACCCTCAACCCTAAACCCGAAACCCCAAACCTTAAACCCTAAACCCCAAACCCTCAACCCTAAACCCTAAACCCTAAACCCCAAACCCCAAGCCCTAAACCCCAAACCCTAAACCCCAACCCCTAAACCCTAAACCCTAAACCCTAAACCCTAAACCCTAAACCCTAAACCCTAAACCCTAAACCCTAAACCCTAAACCCTAAACCCTAAACCCTAAACCCTAAACCCTAAACCCTAAACCCTAAACCTAACCCTAAACCCTAAACCCTAAACCCTAAACCCTAAACCCTAAACCCTAAACCCTAAACCCTAAACCCTAAACCCTAAACCCTAAACCCTAAACCCTAAACCCTAAACCCTAAACCCTAAACCCTAAACCCTAAACAAAACAAGGCCAAAGCGCCGCCATGGGCGCGTCGGGAGCAGCGGGAAGGTGGCAGTGGGTCCTCCGTTTGCTTCCCGGCCTTGCAGAAGTGTTTACTAAGTGTTCGGGGTTTAAGGTAAAAGGTTTAGGGTTTAGGGTGTAGGGTTTAGGGTTTATGGTGTAGGGTGTAGGGTGTAGGGTTTAGGGTTTAGGGTTACATGAGATTCATGGTACTTGCTAACCCAAGTTAAACTTCCGGAGCTTAGAGGTTTAATCCCTCTCTTTACGCCCTGTGCCTGGGCTCAGAGGAAGCAGCTGGCAGGGGAAGCTTCAGTGTTTCAGTGTCTGGGGACCCAGGGTTGACGTTTAGGGTTTAGGGTTTAGGGTTTAGGGTTTAGGGTTTAGGGTTCAGGGTTTAGGGTTTACGGTTTAGGTTTTTAGGGTTTAGGGTTTAGGGTTGACGGTTTCGGGTTTCCGGTTTCCACAGGACTTGCCGCGAGCACGTTCCACTTCCAAATGGGGACGCCGTCCCGTGCACGGACAAGTCCGAAGGCCTCACTGTGCTGCAAGCGGCGATGGTGGGGTTTAGGGTTTAGGGTTTAGGGTTTAGGTGCGTGTGTGCTGCAAGCTTTGGTGGCAGCTCGACAGCGTGGGCAGTTCCAAGAGGACCTGTTGGCATTCAGGGCCCTTCGAGGGCGACATGCGGGAGCTGCCTGCTGCTGTTCGGGCCACTGTCCGGGATATCCGGAATAGGGTGTCATGATGTCTCCGTCACGGACAGTTGTGTGGAACCTGACATCACGCATACAGAGTCGGACGGGGCTGGAATCAGGAAAACAAAGCATGTGTAACCATATGAGGTACTTAAGTGGCTTGTAAGTGGGTTATCGTACTTAGCCAAGGTCGAGCTTCAAACTTGTTTGGGGTTCCATACTTAGGAGGAATAGTAAAGCTAAACTTTTTTCATTTCTTAGTTATTGCAGAAGTAGGTTCTAGGGTGCATAATTTAAAGTGAGTCCTGTTTGGGGTTTAGGGTTTAGGGTTTAGGGTTTAGGGTCTAGGGTCTAGGGTTTAGGGTTTAGGGTTTAGGGTTTAGGCTAGGATGCAGGGTTTCGTGTCTTTAGCCTGTTGGGTTTCATGGGCTTGTTAATGCATGCAGCTGAAGAGCCCCCAGTCCCTAAACCCTGAGGTGCCAGCCCAAGTGCAGCCAAGAGTAGGTCTTACCGGGTTTCTAGAGTGTAGGGTTTAGGGTTTAGGGTTTAGGGTTTAGGGTTTAGGGTTTAAGGTTTGCGGTTTAGGGTTTAGGGTTTAGGGTTTAGCTTCACTTTCCGTGGTCCCAAGTGCAGTGCGGGGACTCTTTTAGCAGGGCCCTTATTGCTCAATGACAATGCCGATTGGACCCTAAACCCCAAACCCCAAACCCCAAACCCCAAACCCTAAACCCTAAACCTTAAACCCTAAACCGAGACTAGTTCACCCGTGGCAATGTTGTGCCAAGGGTTGCGCGCGATGCTCAACCGTATGTCTAGAGAACTCCTTGTTGTAGGACTCCCCAGAATTGCCCTTTTTCCGCCTTGTCAAGAGTTAGTTGCCATTGCACCTCATATACTTTCAACCCTAAACCCCTACACCCTTAACCCCGAAACCCTCCCCCAAATCCTAAACCCGCAGTCGATATTCGGAACCAGTTGCAAGACTGTACAAGATTCCAAGCGCACCCTAAACTAAGCCTGCTGTGGTTGGGGTTTAGGGTTTAGGGTTGGGGTAATAAAGTGATGATGCTCTTGCAAAGTAACGCAAACATTCTTCCTAAGAGGGTAATGAAGGGGTTGTTGTTTTTCTCGTATGCGTTGTTTTTCCCTTTTTGTTGGCGTGGGCGGGGTTTCTTAAGCAAATAGTAGAAACCCTGAACCCCTAAGCCCTTGCACTCTGACCTTTCGTTTCCATAGGCACGTACGAGACCCGAACCCTAAAATCTAAACGCAACTTCCTGAATGCCTACATGGTCCCTATAACGCTTGACGACCCAAAACCTTATCGCCCTAAGCGCTAAGCCCTAGGTACATATAAGGAAAATGTGGGCGTTTTGGGGGGCTTATCGGGTCTAGGGTTTAGAGGGCTGAGAAGGTTTATCGAATTGTTGAAGGTTCTTTTGTAGGGCTTGACAGGATATAATGTAGCTGTAGGGTTTAGGGTTTAGGGTTTAGGGTTTAGGGTTTAGGGTTTAGGGTTTAGGGTTTAGGGTTTAGGGTTCAGGGTGTACATCCCAACACCCTAAACCCCAAGCCACACTAAAGCCCGAGACCCTTGTAGGGTTCACAGGGCCCAGCGGTCGCCGCAAAGGCTCTACTACCCCCCTCTATACCCCCCCCCCCCCCCAGGTTCCCTCCTTAAATAACCGAAAGAATTAGTTATTTCTAAGTAGCCTTATTTATGGGGGAAACCTAGGGGGGGGGGGGGGGGGGGGGGCGAAACCCTAAACCCTAAACACTAAACCCTAGGGGTTTAACCCTAAACCCTAAACCCTCAACCCTAAACCCTGCCTTAAGGACCATATAACAAAGGCTGTCCCAGTCAGCTGCAGCGGCGCTCTCTATCGATCTCCTAGCGCACAACACGGCCTTGAGCGGTTGCGAGAAGGCCTTCCCCGAGCCCTTGAGTCTGAAGTTGAGGGTCAAGGAGGTTTAGGGTTTAGGGTTTAGGGTTTCGGGTTTAGGGTTTAGGGTTTAGGGTTTCGGGTTTCGGGTTTAGGGTTTTGGGTTCAGGGTTCAGGGTTCAGGGTTTGTTTTTTGTTTTTCCTGTTCTAAGGAAGCTCGAGCACTAGAGTTTAGAGTTTAGGAGTGTAGGAGTGTAAGCCGAAAACTTTATGCCTGCCGCCTGCTCCTGATTTTCAAACCCACCCCCTAAACCCTAAAGCCTAAAGCCTAAACCCCCTAAACCCTAAACCCCCTAAACCCTAAACCTTAAACCCTCTAAACCCTAAACCCTAACCCCCCTAAACCCTAATCCCTAAACCTTGTCTTTCTTCCCTGATTCGTGACGCCGAGAACCTCATGCCTGCTGCCCGCTCCCGATTTTCAAAGCCCATCCTAAACCCTAAACCCTTATCCCTAAACCCTGAACCCTAAAGCCTAAACCCTAAACCCTAAACCCTAAACCCTAAACCCTAAACCCTAAACCCTAAACCCTAAACCATAAACCCTAAACCCTAAAGCCTAAAGCCTAAACCCTCCCTCTCTTTCTTCTCTCCCCTTCAGGCCGGAGCCTGGGAGAGGGCCACTCTTCTCCTGCATGCTGCGGGCGATCTTCAGCCCGACGTCACTCAGGGTTTTAGGGTTTAAGGTCAGGGTTTAGGGTTTAGGGTTTAGGGTTTAGGGTTTAGGGTTTAGGGTTTAGGGTTTAGGGTTTAGGGTTTAGGGTTTAGGGTTTAGGGTTTAGGGTTTAGGGTTTAGGGTTTAGGGTTTAGTTTAGGGTTCAGGGTTTAGGGTTTAGGGCTTAGGGTTCAGGACCTTTTCGGTTGAGTTCTGTATTACTTAGGGTTTAGAGTTGGATACTTCAAAATTGTTTATGCGTGTCTTTTTATGAACTCCAGAGCCTTCCGGTGAGATTGTCGGGTTTAGTGTTTAGGGTTCCGTTCGGGCTTACTACAGGGTTCTCCTCCACAAGGTTGGACAAGCAACTTTAGTTGCCATTCGTGGCGCCGCCGTGAACCCTAAATTCTAAACCGATCTTCATTTGGGCCTGTCCCTGCAATCAAGGTTTAGGGTTTAGGATGCAGACCGTTTAGAAGCTAACTGCCAGACACTTCGTCTAACGATCGGAAGACGTGTACTTCAGCAGGTTCTTTGACACAAGCCATACTAGGCTTTGTGCTTTGTTGAGCTCCCACGCGTACAAATCAGAAGCCCTAAGCCCCAAGTCCTAAACCCAGAACCCACACCCTTGTGAGGTTTAGGGTTTGGGGGTTTGAGGTTTAGGGCTTAGGGTTTAGGGTCAGGTGATCTCCTACAACGCCTCGATCCGCGCGCAAGGCTTCTTGGGAAGGAAGGGGGGGGGGGGGGGGGCAAGGAAGGGAGGGGGACAGCGCCGGCTCGCCCTAGTAAACGCCAAGATTTAGGGTCTAGGGTACCTAACCATGCACTCCTCAAAGCGATTGTACTTCATACTAATCCCTAAACCCTGAACCTCTTCCTGCTTCCAAACCGGCGGCGGTTGGTAA